CGTTCCTGGCCACCGCAACCTCGACCTGCCGGGCTCCAGTGATCCTTCTGCCTCAGCCTTCCAAGTAGCTGGAACTACAGGCGCGCGCTACCACGCCCGGCTAATTTTTTATTTTATTGTAGAGATGAGGTCTTGTCAAGTTGCCCAGGCAGGTCTCGAACCCGTGGGCTCAGGCAATCCACTCACCTCGGCCTCCCAAAGTGCTGGGATTACAAGCTGAGCCACCAAGCCTGGCCGATTATTTAATTTTCTTAACAGAAATTCTTTCAGAAATATGTCATTTGTTACTGGGAGTAAGTGTATGTTTATGTTTGAATTTCTTTGATATGTACAGATTATGTGTGGTCTTTAATCTTTTTGTTTGTCTTTGTCTTCAAAAGTTCAGTCTTTGTGGGCTTCAGTGAATAAAACACTCATGTTTTTGGAAAAAGAGAAGTCATTAGTTTGGTCCTTAGTCTTGTTAACCCATATTCTTTAGATGGAACTAATGTTGTTATTAATATTCAAAGGCTGTTATGCGACAAAATTCAGAAACAAATAAGTCAGGTAAGCATTTCAAGTAAGATAGCTTTTGAGAAAACTTGTTGGATGTAATTATTTTATATATTATACGTTATTTTTCTTGCAATGTTTTTTGACTGCTTTCAGAATTTATTTTTGTATGTCTAATAAAGATTTGATAAAGAAGGGTACTGTTTAAATTGTGTTTATGTACATCAGTCAGCGTTTACTAATTGTCCATACTTGATCGGAGCTACACCAGTATACACAGTATGAGGTGTCTTAGTAGGAACGTGATACTATGCTAGGTCTTTATAAATTCTCAAAGAGAACAACGGTGATGTATCTCCTCATTGTGCGATGTCCTTTGACAAAGTTGCCACCCCTCCACCCACCCCACCCCCCCAGTTTCTGTCTTAACCTGATACTGTTAAATAAATGTTCCTTTAGCTTTGTGACCTGAATGTCTCTGCTTTCCTGTGGTCTTGAAAACTGCGCTCTATTTCTCCACTGGTTTCTTTTTCTCTGACTTTTAAAGTAGAAGTGTTCTCCGTGGTTCTTTTAATGCCCCCCTTTTCTTTCCTTTATGACAAACTTATTTGTATATTTTATTTTCTTAGCACAATTCATCAAGCATCTACTGTATGGTAGGAATTGAGTATAATATAAGGGATACAAAGATAAGCTATTGTGTCTCTGAGAAGCTTTCACTTTAATAGGTGCGTGATAAGGACCTGAAATTCCCAGTATATAAAAATCAGCATCTGTTTAGCAGCATCTCTGGTTTCTAAAAAGAAAAGAAAAGCCTACTAAGTAAACTACACAGAAACAAAGAGCTGAATGCCGCACGTTCTGACTCATAAGTGGGCCTTGAACATTAGTCACATTAGCCTAAGGGAGGGATGGGCAGGCACTGGGCAATGCTAGGAGAGGGAGGGAGGGAGGGCGGAAGGTGGGAGTCATTTGACAACACAAAGGGTTCTGTGTTCATCACCACGGGGCGTGAGAGTCAGTCAGAAGCCCATGCTTGCCCTGAATGCAGCCTGATTATGTAGTTAATCCTCACTTGTAACCCACGTTCCTATAATAAAGTTAAAAAGAAAAATCAAGATCTGCTAATATTCATTCCTACAGGTTCTAGGCAGGTCATCAATGAAGCACAGTAATTGTGTGTAGCAGTAGGGAGAAAGTAGGTAGTGATGAGGTCTTTGGAGAAAGGTACTCTGGTAATTTTTACATGAAATCTAAGATTTAAAAAATATTGGCAGTTAATTTAAGTGATTTTGAAATACTGGAACTGTGCAGGCCAAATAAATACCTCTAAGTATAGATGCAGCCTTTGGGGGTCGTTCATGGATTTACAGCTTCTATTAATTGAATATATTATCGTTTCCTCAAACCTGCTCTTTCTGCTCCATCTTTATTTTTCTTTCCATCTATTTCTATTTCTTTGATTCTAGGTTTCAACCTTTGGCATGCTATAACCATGTAGCAAGGCATGTTAATTATTCCACAGTAGTTTTCACTGGGCCAAAATTATTTATATAGTTTTATGTTTGGGGGTGTTTGATTTGATTTTTTTCCTCAGTCTTCTTTTAGGTATATTTTTATATAGTAATAAAATAAAAAGGTTATAGTTATATAACAGTTTATTATCATAAGAACCTATAGTTCACCACATTTTTTCTCCTCTAAATCCCTAGTTGCACATAGGAAATGTTTATGAGGCTGGAAAATTGAACCATTTAACCGTTATTCAGTTATTAAGTGAAGCCTTAAAACTACTGAAATATGAATGTTGTCATGCTGGCCGTGGAAGATGGACAGTAGACCGTCACTACCTTGAAAAAGAGACCAAATTTCAGAGGGCAAGATGAGCAGATCTGAAGCATATGAGGTATGTTAGAAAGATCTATTATTTTGTTACGGAAGGAGTAGGGTGGTTTTCTCAGCAAAACTCTCATTATAATTAACTCTTCAGCTGTGGTAAACAAATATGAGCATTTTACTAGTACTCAAAACCTTACATAGTCAACTCCTGGAGAGACATGAATTAGGAAGTAAAAGTAATGGAGTAAATTATTTGCCCTAAGTGACAGTTCTTTATGGAATAATTGTAACTTTTCACTACTTTTCTTTTGTAGGGTCTAATGATAAAACTGGTCCTCAGAAAAGTTTTTTACTTGAGCTAAAAAATTGTGAGGTATGGGTTGCTTCTAGGAATGAACAGAGAGTTGCTCAAGCTTACAGTTGGAAAAAAAATTGTATTTTAAAAATAAATGGAGTAGTAACTGGGCATGGTGGCATGCAGCTATAGTCCCAGGTATTGGGGGGCTGAGGCCAGAGGATCACCTGAGCCCAGGAGGTTTTCAAGACTGTGGTGAACTGTAATTCTGCCACTACAGTCCAGCCTGGGCAATGTTTATGAGGCTAGAAAATTGAAACTCTTAACAGTTCTTCAGGTATTAAGTAAAACCTTGAAAGTAACTAAATACAAATTTTTTAGTCAGATTGAGACCCTGACTAAACAAACAAACAAACAAACATCAAAGGCTACACATTTGGCCAGGCCAAAACGGTGCCTCATGTCTGTAATTCTAGAACTTTGAGAGACCGAGATGAGTGGATTGCCTAAGCCGCAGGCTCGAGACCAAACTAGGCAACTTGATGAGACCTCATCTCTACAAAAAAATCAAAAAATCATTAGCCAGGCATGGTGGCACGTGCCTGTAGTTCCAGCTACTTAGAAGACTGAGGCAGAAGGATGGCCCTGAGTCCAGCAAGTAGAGGCTGCGGTGGCCGAGAGCATACCACTGCCCTCCAGTCTGGGTGACAGAGTGAGACTCCAACTCAAAAAGTAAAATAGAAATTAAAAAAAGTACCCAGGTGTGGGGACACTCCCTTATAGTCTTAGCTATTTGGGAAGTTGAGGCAGAGTGATTGCCTGAGCCTAGGAGACGGAAGCTGCAGTGAGCTGTGATTATGCCACTAATGCTAGCATGGGAGACCTGACTCCAACAAATCAAATCAATAAATAAATGGCGTGATGTATGATTACTTTCTGGTCTTAAAACAAGAATTGTAGGCTGGTCACCGTGGCTCATCCTGGTAAACCCAGCACTTTGGGAAGTGGAGGCAAGAGGATTGCCTGAACCCTGGGTTTCAAGACCAGCTTGGGCAATGTGACAAGCCCTCGTCTCTATAATAAATAAAAAAAGTTAGCTGGGGTTGGTGGTATTTCAGGGTTCTGAATATTCACATGTGAGAGTTTATTCATTTATATGTGTTGTACTTGTTGAATTTTCAGTTATATTTTCTATAGCTGTTAATTTTCTTAAATTGTACTCAATGCTTTTTTGTATACTCATGGGTTTTGTTTTGTTTTGTTTTGTTTTTATTTGTCAGAGTCTTCCTCTGTTGCCCAAACTGGAGTGCAGTGGCCAATCACTGCTCACTGCATCCTCTACCTGCTGGGATCAGGATCCTTCCACCTCAGTCTTCCGACTAGCTGGAGCTACGGGCGTGTGCCACCTCACCTGGTTAATTTTTTGTTTATTGTAGAGATGAGGTCTTGCCAACTTGCCAGTGTGGTCTTGAACTCCTGGACTGCGACAGTCCTCTTGCCTCCACCTCCCAAAGTGCTGGGATTAATAGATGTGAGCCACTGTGCCTGACCTATACTCAAGTTTTGAGTAAAGCTTTTTTTTTTTTTTTGTAATGCTATCATAGCCATAGAATAAAAGAAGTCTTAACCTGAAAAGCAAGAAGAATGGCATAAGATGTGGGAAGAATTTCTTGGTTTGTCTCCTTTCAGTCTAATTGAAGACTGGAGTCCAGTAAGTAATGTTGACTTGGCTTTTGGAGAGTAGTTTAATATATGGCAATCTCTTGATCTACCCTGTTACAAATGGTCTTGTGTATATATGTCATCTTTGCCTCTGAGCCTAAAGTATAAATATTTTGCTTCCTGTAATTTTTCTGAATATATAATAGAATACTCATTAAGCTGTGTTGTCATTTATAGTTAATATTTTTAGATTGTATCAAAAAGAAAACAAGGCTGAACAGGGTGACTCACGTGTCTATAATCCCAGCAGTTTGGGAGGCTGAGGTTGGAGGACTGCTTGAGTCTAGGAGTTCGAGTCCAGCCTGGGCAACATAGTGAGACCTCACTTCTACAAAAACCAAACAAAAGTAGCTGGGCATGGTGGTCTATATCTGTAGTCCCAGCTACTCACGAGGCTTAAGTGGGAGGATCCCACGAGCGCAGGAGTTTGAGGCTGCAGTGAGCTATGACTGTGCCAGTGTACTCCAGCCTGGGTGACAGAGTGAAAACCTGTCTCCTAAAAAAACAGAAATAGTTATAGGATATATGCTTGGTAATTATGTCTTTATTAGGGGCTAAACCATCTGTTCATAACTTAACATTGTTAGTGTGGTAATCAGTCAATGTGTTTGCTTCAAAACTGAAATCTCTTTTAAGGCTGTGGATCTATTACCACCTATGTCTCCTCTTTCCTTTGATCCTGCCTCAGAAGGAGCATATGTGAACAGTATTCTTGCTCAGTATCCTGCATCTCTTCCAGGTGAGTTATTTATTATTTTCTCTTTTAAACCTCTCTCCTGTCATTTTCCTCGTTATGATAGTAGTTGTTTACATTCCTTGTCTTTTTCCTCCAATTATTTTTTATCGTGGTGAAATGCATGTAACGTAAGGTTTACCATTTCAGTCATTGCCAAGTGTGGGACTCGTTGGCATTTAGTGCATGCACAGTATTGTGCAATCATCACTACTGCCTAATTTCAGAACATATTCATCCTCTCAAAGGGATACTTCACCAACTGGGTGCTGTGGCTTATACCTGTAATTCCCACACTTTGGGAGGCAGAGCCGAGAAGACCGTCTGATCCCGAGGGTTGCAGGCCAGGCTGAGCCACTTGGCGAGGCCTTGTCTTTACAATAAATCAAAAAATCATCCAGACCTCTTGGCGAGTACCTGTAGTTCCAGCTACTTGGAATGGTGAGGCGGAAGGATTGCCTGAGCAAGGCAGGTTGAGGCTGCAATAGCTGAGAGCGTGCCACAGCACTCCAGCCTGGCGACAGAGTGAGACTCCAACTCAAAAAAATACAAATAGGCAGGATGTTGTGGTTCAAGCCTGTAATCCTAGCACTTTGGGAGTCCATGGTAAGAGGATTGCTTGAGTTCAGGGGTTCAACCACCCTGGACAACTTGGTGAGACCTCGTCTCTACAGTAAATAAAAAAAAAATTAGCTGGGTCTAGTAGCGCGCACCTGTAGCTCCAGCTATTTGGAAGGCTGAGGCGGAAGGGTCGCCTGAACCCAGCAGGCCGAGGCTGCGTTGGCCGTGAGTGTGCCACTGCACTCCAGCCTGGGCGACAGAGTGAGACTCCGACTCAAAAACAATAAAATATTAAAAAAACTTTAAAAAAAGGAAACTTCAGTGCATTACATAGTCAGTTGCACACAGCTTTCCCCCCTTGGCACTCCTGTCTCTATAGATTTGCTTATTCTGGATATTTCATGTAAATAGAGTCATAAAATAGGAGACCTTTTTGGGGGGCTTCTTTTGCTCTCAGTTTTTCACTCTGCACAATGTTTTCAAGTTTCACCCACATGATAACATGAATCAGCTTTCAATTTTTTTTCTTTTCTTTAAAAACCACTTTATGGCTGGGCGTGGTGGCTGGCGCATATAATCCCAGCACTTTGGGTGGCCAAGATGAAAGGATTGCCAGAGCCCACCAGTTCGAGACCAACCTGGGCAACTTGGCAAGACCTCATCTCTACAATAAATAAAAAAATTAGCTAGTCATCGTGGCACATGCCTGTAGTTCCAACCACTTGGAAGGCCGAAGGATCACCTGAGCCCAAGCAGGTTGACGCTGCAGTGGCCATGAGCGTGCCACTGCACTCCAGCCTGGGTGACAGAGTGAAACTCCAACTCAAAAACAACAACAACTTTTTGCCAGCGCAGTGGCTCATACCTAAACTCCCAGCACTTTGGGAGGCGGAGGCATGAGGATTGCCTGAGACCCAGGTTGAGACCAACCTGGGCAATAAAAAAAAAAATTAGCTGGGGTGGTGGTGTGCACCCATACTTCCAGCCTCTTGAAGGGCTAAGGTGGAAGGATCATCTGAGCTCAACAGGTTGAGGCTGCAGTGGCCATGAGCATGCTACTACAGTCTAACCTGGGCGACACGGTGAGGCTCTAACTAAAGAAGAAAACCAAAACCAGCTTTATTTAGATGTAATTTATATACCATACAATTTACCCATTTAATGTGTACATTTCTGTGGTGTTTGCTATGTTGCCCAGGCTGGTGTTGAACTCCTGAACTCAAGCAATTCTCTCGCATTGGCCTTCCTGGTCCATTTTTTCTTTGATAAATGCTCTTCCCTTAGGATAATTCCCACAATGGAGTCAACACTCACTCTTTTGTTCTGTTACGGTGCTAGGATTTCATGGCCCTCAGTCTTGGCATGACAAGTGGACAGAGAGAGTAAGGACTTAGCCAGGGCTGTTTAAGCTGTCTTAGAGTGTGATGTTAGTAGGTCTAACACATGTTGCCACTTCATTAATGAGAGGGTAGAAGGTGTAGAATGTTTCTATTATTCTGTCTTATAAGGTTCCACAAGAATGATTCAAATGGAGACACTTTGTTGTCCCCTATAAAAATCCTATCCTCAAGTGACATTCTATCAATCCAGCCAACAGTAAGCACATAGGTGTTGCACTGCCAAACACCCTGCTAGCTAGCCTCTGGATATAGCCTTTGGAAAGATGTAACCTTTGTCTTCACCATCTGTAGTTGGACCTTGGTGGCATTGGTCCATAGTTTGCTGGCTCTGTTTCAGAGGGCTTTTTGATAATTTTAATGTAAAGTTTTCATAGAAAGTCTAGTAGAGATGATGATTCCTTTGCCTCTGGTATCTGGGTTATATTCTGTCAAGGCTAAATTGAAATTTGAGTGACTGCAGTGATTCTGAATTGTCATTAGAAGGTAGGTAAAGATTCCAAAATTGCATGTTTAAAGTTTGAAAAGTTATAGTTGCCATTATATAAGATATTTACAAAGCTATTCACTTTGTACTCCCGGCTGTACAAAGAAGGAAAGCACCAGCATGATTGTTGCTGAAAGTGGTCTCGGCCGGGCGTGGTGGCTCACACCTGTAATGCCACCACTATGGGAGGCCAAGGTGAGAGGATTGCCTGAGCCCATGGGTTCGAGACCGGCCTGGGCAACTTGGCGAGACCTCATCTCTACAATAAACAAATAAAAAAAATTAGGTGAGCGTGGTGATGCAGGACTGTAGTTCCAGCTATTCAGAAAGAAGGCTGAGGCGGAAGGACCACCTGAGCCCAGCAGGTCGCAGCCTGGTGACCATGAGCGTGCCACTGCACTCCAATCTTGTCGACAGAGTGAGACTCCAAGTCAGGGGGGAAAAGAAAACCAGAAGAAAGTGGTCTCAGTGGTACTCTTGTTTTTTATATTACCTAGTGTAGAAAAGCCTTTAGCCTTTGGATTTTCAATATTTTTAACGATGAAAATAAAATAGTTCCTTTTTTGTTTAAGCAGGATTTATTGAGAAGACAGATTAGTTCCCACAGTGGGAGGGGACCCGTTGGGGTTGCCCAAATAGTTTCTTTCAAGTTATCATTTCTTTGAAGGCTTTTAGCATTTTTATAACATAATAAGCATGAAGAAAGATACATAAGATTTTAATGTTAATCCAAAGAGAAAAGAGAATTCAAAAGATTAAGAAATATAACATACAGGTCGGGTGTGGTGGCTCATGTCTGTATTCCCAACACCTATGAGGCTGAGACAGGAGGATTTCTTGAGCCTAGGAGTTTGTGACCAGCCTGGGCGATATAGCGAGACCTCATCTCTACAAAAGGAGGCTGCGTCAGAAGGATTGCCAGAGCCCAGGAAGGTCAAGGCTGTGGTGAGTCGTGATTGTGTCACTGCACTGCAGCTTGGGCGCTAGGGTAAGACCCCGACTCAAAAAACAAAAACAAAAAAAACCCAAGATGCAGAATACAGGAAACCACATTTCTGAATAACCCGACGACTTTACTGTAAGTGAAAACCTATTTGCTGTAAAGCAGACTTTAGCTTATGAGATTGATTTTGGATTGAAATGTAAACGAATCTTAAAAGTAAGTCTCTGCTACAATGAAATTTTGTGATTTATATCCTGCAGACACTGTAATAATGCAATTCTAGTTAATTAAATTTGTTTTTAATCTGTACTCAAGTTTTCGAGTGTTCATCGAGTTATTTAACCCTTTTGGAAAAAATACTTCTGGGCGTAGTGGCTCCTGCCTACAATCCCAGCCCTTTGGGAAGCTGAGGTGACAGGATAGCCTGAGTCCAGAGGTTCCAGACCAACCTGGGCAATAAGGCCAGGCTTCTTCTCTACGATAAATTAAAAAATTAACTATGCGTGGTGGTGCACACCTTGGTTCCAGCTACTTGGAAGGATGAGGCGAAGGGATTGCCTAAGCCTAGCAGGTCAAAGTAGCAGGGGCTAGAGGTGTGCCACTGCATACTAAGCCTGGTGACATAATGAAATTCTGACTCAAACAAGAAAGAAAGAATACCATTGACTTATGAAAATATATAGTGGGTAAGCAAAGTGTTCATACTTGGGAGCCTGATACCCAAATTGGGCTGAAGTACCGCTCTAATTGTCACTGTACCTCCCTAGAGTAAACTGCCTTTTGATGACCGGGACGAATTGAGTGAAATCGTAACGGACAGATACGGGGCAGACAGTTTTTAAAGAACATTTAGATACGTCAAATGAATGGAATTCTTTCCTGCTTATATCTTGGATTTGTTCTCTTTTTCTTTTCTCTGGTTCTGCCTCTTTGCTGTTACAGGCAGCTTCATCCTCAGAAAGAGTGTTACACTACTTGGAAAGGTATATTAATTTACAACTAATTGTGACCATACTGAATTATGGTAAAATAGTATTTCTTTTTGTTGATCTCACAACTTAATTTAATTAAATTTCTATTTTCACCTTTTCCAGTATTTACACATTTTGTGCCATGTCGACTTATGCATTCTCTATTGCTAAGTGGGAATTTGGGAATTAGTTAATTCTGCCAGTGAGTATATAATTTCTCATTAATATTAACAGCCTTTTGGGTTTATGATAACCAGTGAACCTCTAGTGAAGAAAACTTCCAGATCAACCATGATTACTAAGGTTTTAATATTACATGTTTGTCTTCCTCAGAACACGAAGTTGAGACTTCCCAAACAGAAATGTGAGACGGTTTCTAAGAAAATACCAGAATTTGAAATGGAAGACTCTCCATTATCAGATATTACAACAACTACAGAGGATAGTCGAGCTGGAGGGTCTCTGCCAGCCAAAAAAAGTGATGCATTAGAAAAAGAGCTAGATCATCTGGCAGAAGAGGTTAGAAAAGACCGCAATGAGTATATTTATACATCTATATTATTTTCTCACTGGTATCGGGACCATGAGTGAAATACAGCTAATTACTGATTAGCTGGAGTAACTTGGGGGAAAGGCAGTAGAAATAATAAAAATCATGGTTAAAGCAAAATTGGTCTTCCCAAAAGGTAGGAATAGATTTAATATAAACTTAATGTAGTTAAGATCATAAGCACGGGCTGGGCTTGGCGGCTCGCACCTACAATCCCGGCACGTTGGGAGGCCAAGGTGAGAGGATTTCCTGAGCCCACAGGTTGGAGACCAGCCTGGGCAACTTGGCCAGACCTCGTCTCTGCGATGAACCAAAAAATTAGCCAGGCGTGGTAGTGCGTGCCTGTAGTTCCGGCTACTTGGAAGACTGAGGTGGAAGGATCACCTGAGCCCAGCAGGCCG